TCTATCAGTCATTTTGTTTCAGGGGGGTATGACATCATCATGCGATTATCATCTACTCCTTTGATAATGTACTATACATATAGTATATTGTGACAAAGAATTTCATCAGCTATTGCCCCGAACCGGTCCGTCTTCTCGCTACAAGCAGATTGCCCCGAACCGGTCCGTTTTCTCGCTGCAAGCAGGATGAAATTCTTTGTCACAAAGTTTGGCATTTTTTATAAAATCAAACGCGCGTCATTGAAACTCAGAAGATGTAAATAGCATGTCATTTACATCATACCTTGATGGGGAAAAATAGATCTTATATGTTAGAAGTACTAAATAAAAGTTATCGTGAAAATGAGACAGTCGTTCTCGAGAGAAAAGAGCATAAATGCGCATTTAGAGAGTTTTGGTCTGTTTAAAAATCTGTAAAAAATTGGGGTACTTAAAAGCATCGGGAGGCATCATATATTTCAAATTAGACACGAGGAAGTCAATATTCAGCAAGTTATGGCTGTTTTAAATTCAAATAAAACCGTGAACCCGTACCGGTCCAGCTTTTGACCCGTACCGGTCAATTTTCGTTAGCTGCGTATACCAAGGGTGAAATATTATGTTACAAAAGGTGGGTGTCATTTTTGCGTAAGATACAATTCGGCCAGCAAATGCTCGTAAATGTGCACCTAGGTGAGCTAGTCATCTAATACTTCTTGTGGAGTTGCAAAATGGTTTGTAGGTTCAATGTGCGAAAAGACAAATCAGCATTTCTCAGACTAAAAAGTTATGAAACATTATGCGGGTGGGTGTCATTTTTTGTGTCACGGCCAAAACTGCAAATGTGCAGTTCAAGATCGGCGCAGTTTTGTATTTTTGTAACATATTTATACCATGTATGTAAATGTGTTTTTCTTTGGGAAATAAAGAAAAAACAAAACAAAGAAGCTATAATAAAGTGTCAAAGGTAATGAATGGCCATACCAATTGCAAGATACCTCGACATTTTTGTAAAAAAGAGTATGAAGGCATTAATTTCGTACTATTTGTGAAAATGTAGTATCTAAGGTATTTGAACTTAATCATAATATTCACCATATTTGTTATGTAGGTGTAGATGAAGATTGCGGAGTAAATCCCACATTTACGGGTTTGAAGCAGCTCAAGACCTCGGATGGAATGATCTTCAACGCCTATTGTGAACAGGGATGGACTTATGTTCTTAAGAGATTTGATGGAAGCGAAGATTTCTACCGTAGCTGGGTTGAATACCAGCAAGGCTTTGGTGAACGTAATAAAGAGAACTTTATAGGACTGGATAACCTTGCTAGCATGTTGAAACAAAGGAGTTATAAAGTTCGATTTGATATAACAGCTTTTCCTTCTGACACCTCTACTCTAATAAGTGGCTTCGCGGAATACTCAACGTTTAATATGGCTGACGAGAGTGACAAATATCGGATCGCCATCAGTGGGTATTCCGGTAATGCGGGAGATTCGATGGCATTTCAAAATGGGCAACAATTCACAACATATGACCAAGACAATGATTCTGATGCGGGTAACTGCGCTGATCAATACAAGGGTGCATGGTGGTACAATGCTTGTCATCAAAGTAATTTGTTCGGTTTGTATGTGAATAGTGCAATTTGTCCAGCGTATGGCCAGTGTGTTAACTGGTTTGCATGGCCCGATGCTCTTGCCTCACCGAATGATAACTCCTATATATCTTTCAAAGAGGCATCTATGAGAATACATCGCAATTAGAATGTTCACCAGTTGAAGATGAATCCAACTTTGAACGTTATAGGCAGAAAACAATCATAACAATGAATCCAACTTGAACGTTATCGACAGAAAACAATCATTACAATGAATCCAACTTTGAGCGTTATAGGCAGAAAACAATCATTACAATGAATGAAACTTTGAACGTTATCGACAGAAAACAATCATTACAATGAATCCAACTTTGAACGTTACCGACAGAAAGCAATCATCACAATGAATCCAACTTTGAGCGTTATAGGCAGAAAACAATCATTACAATGAATCCAACTTTGAACGTTATCGACAGAAAACAATCATTACAATGAATCAAACTTTGAACGTTATAGGCAGAAAACAATCGTTACAAATGAACCCAACTTTGAACGTTATAGACAGAAAAATTGCAGTCATTACAATGAATCCAACTTTGAACGTTATAGGCAGAAAACAATCATTAAAATAAAACCAACTTTGAGAGTTATAGGCAGAAAACAATCATTACAATGAATCCAACTTTGAGCGTTATAGGCAGAAAACAATCATTACAATGAATCCAACTTTGAACGTTATAGACAGAAAACAATCATTACAATGAATGTAACTTTGAACGTTATAAGACAGCGAACACTCATTACGATGAATCCAACTTTGAACGTTATAGGCAGAAAACAATCATTACAATGAATCCAACTTTGAACGTTATAGGCAGAAAACCATTACAATGAATCCAACTTTGAACGTTTTAGGCAGAAAACAATCATTACAATGAATCCAACTTTGAACGTTATAGACAGAAAACAATCATTACGATGAATCCAACTTTGAACGTTATAGACAGAAAACAATCATTACAATGAATCTAACTTTGAACGTTATAGGCAGAAAACAATCATTACAAATGAATCCAACTTTGAACGTTATAGGCAGAAAACCATTACAATGAATCCAACTTCGAAGGATTTAGGCAGAAAACAATCATTACAACGAATCCAACTTTGAATGTAATAGACAGAAAACAATCATTACATTGAATCCAACTTTGAACGTAATAGGCAGAAAACAATCATTACAATGAATCCAACTTTGAACGTTATAGGCAGAAAACCATTACAATGAATCCAAATTGTCGCGTTGTAAAATAGTTTATTACATTTTACATGTACAAGGTGATCCAGAAGTAAGGTCAAAGGTATTGTCATTACAATACTGCCTGACTGATTATCTTTAAACTTGGTACAAAGGACCAGGTGCGATGATGTGCGAATATCCCCATGATCAGAATGAATTACTCAGATGCGAGTAGGTAGTTACCAGTTTCGCCACCAGGTGGCTGAGTCGGGGGAAATAACATGGCAGGGTATTACAGAATTCCCCTAAACTTGCATATTCATCAGTTTTAGTGGTTCACTTTTCCATATCACCCTTTTGTATCTGATAGTTATACAAATTAAAATATGCCCAGTACAAGAAAATATAATCTGCCGAACACAAGAAAAGATATTTCACTTTATGTGATTTTACAACATGGGCTCTATGGGGAATCTCCCCGACCTATAGCTAGAAGTCACATTTTCAAAGGAAATTAAATTTTCAAAGTTGATAAACTCTTTTCAAAACCACATTTTTAGATGTAAATCTACATGTAGATTCCAAATATGACATCAGTTTGACTGAATTTTTATTTTTTGATGACTTAAATCAAGATTATTTCTACTCGCATCTAGTCTATTATGTCACATAATAGTTTTGAAAATATTTAAGCGTTTGGACCCACATGGACTCAGGTTGGGGTCATTAAGTGCAGTGACCCCATAATGCTACACAAATAGTCAGAGTTCCTTTGAGCAGAAATGAGATTTGATATTTTAAAATTGTGTATACATACAGGATATCCTATGATTTTGAGGGTTATCATTTTTATAAATGGGTGGGTATCGCTCATATCAAGAAGTGAGATTCATTCACATAAAGACTTCCCTTTGGAAAAATCTTCAAAGTTTCAGAATCCAGGGGTGCCCTTGAGAAAAGATACAGCGTATCAAAGTATGTAAGTGCAGGGTCATTTAGAGGGCAATTTCTGGTCATTTAGAGGGCAATTTCTGGTCATTTTGAACGCAATTTCAAGGATAAAAGTTTCCACATTGCACTTTTCTAACAATTGTCATCATGACAGAGTTCAATCCACATGTCTTTGACTGTCATGCACGAAGATTTAAAGACACGTTTCGTGTAGTGGCTCATAAGGAGACCAGGGACGACATGAACTTGCTATCACTTAAATTGGACAGGGGACAAAGTGAACAGATCACCGGACTGGGTCCAAAAAACTTTATATAACAAATCTTATAAATGGCCCCGTTCTCACCAGCGGATTTAGACGGGGGCGTGGGTGGCGCACGCCCCCCCCCCCTCCTAAAAGTAGGAAAATACGTGTTTTGCCTCATCGTTTTTTAACAAAATTTGACTCTTTAATTCGCTCACAGTTCTTATCACACGCCCCCCCCCCTAAGACAAAATCCTGGATCCGTCCCTGGTTCTAGCATACTTTGATACATCATTTTTCAGAGACTGACCCATTGATTCTGAAACTTAGCAATCCCATATTACTTTTCAAGAGATACAAAATGATTTATAACATGATCAGTTGGCAGTACTACATGAGTTTAGAGGGGATGAATACATATGAAACACCCTGTATATTCGGCTTATCGGAAAACACGTAGATGATACAACATCTCAAAAATCCTTGATATGTTTTTAATTGGTGAAGGTATTAAAGATTTAAAGTGCAAAACTTTGAAGAATGTGTAAATGTTCCCAAATAATAACAAAAAAATAAAAATGATAACCATACAAATAGAAAAATAACACATTATTGTAAATATCTTAAATTTTCGTGGAATCTTTGAGGATTTTAAGAATAAAGACATGACAAGGAGCGATGTAAGCCATACATATTCTAAAATTGAAACACATCTGATTTTCTCTAAGGTTACCGATAAATAGGCACTACTAATAATTGCTATATATTTATTCTACACTACTATTTAATTAATACTCGTATATGCCGTTGAAGTTTAAGATTATGGTTCATAACCAGATCAAAAGTTTTGAATTCGACAATGGTTGCTTAAAGGTGGGCTAACAATAAGTCAATTAGCAACGAAAGACAGGAGTAATTGATTTTACAGAAATAATTCAACATTCTTTCGGTTAGACGGCCTTTTAGGTTTATTGGAATAAAACGGTAGGGATATTTCCGCTGATTTCCCGTAACGATTAATCGACAATATTACATACAATTTTGCGGCGCTTTAACGAGATAGAACACACCCTAATAATCTATTAGGAAGTTATACACTGTGGTTGGAAGGAGCTCTGGACATTTAACGCCTAGAGGCAACTGAAAAACAATGTATTTACTTTTGGCTTGGTTTTTCATGACTTTTCTGGCCATAGTTGGCCTTACATTTGCCAAATCATCGCCATATGAAACGTTTTTCAAAAGGGGAATCCTAGGTCAGTCTTTAGATGATAGATATACTTTTGAGAGTGTACCTGTGCAAGGTCTAGCTGAATGCAGTAGATTATGTCAACTGAACGACCACTGTTATTCGTTCAACTTTGAGCATGGCGCAACGGGAATGGCACAATGTGGTCTTGTGTATTGTAATGCAGATGTAAATGACTCTGCATTAGTTTCTAACACCGCAATGACCTACTACAGACAGGTAAGACAATATGTTATACAATGTGTTCGTTCTCCAAATAATAGATACATACTTCATATTTCAATTAAAGAACCGCGAGTTGTTTGCAAAATGAATTGGGGGAGTTTTTGTTCATGCATTTCGCTTGTGTTTTCATATTTTTTCACCTAGTAAGTATTATTAAAACACTTTAAACATTTTATTGACTATAAGGTTGCACCATATAATCCGAAAAACATATTTTTCATTTTCAAGGATTGTCTATGGATTAACACCCAGGTATTTTTATTTTTCAAACTTCAGAGGACTGGGAATCATTGGTTACGAAAGCTTTAAACATACACTCCCCTCAATAAGTTTGGCAACCTTTTTTCCCCATTGAACTACTGTACGTGTTAAAGCCTCTTTACGTTTGAATTTTTATTTACTTAACCGGCGATGAAATAACTTATAATATTGATGGAAACGTAACTTGACTTTATTTTCAATACCTTCAAATTTTCTCAATTTTTTCCTGAATTACAATAGGTCGAAAATTGATGATAAATTTGATGAATTTTTGAAAATCGTCATTCCCATGTAATGTAAAAATATTTTTATATAGAAAATTGAATTGTCTAACTTTTTTGAACACTAAGTGTTTAGTTTATTTGATGAATATTAAAGATACAGCGCTTCAAAGTCATTTTTGAAAATAATTTTCCGCCTCCTGTGTTATTTCGATGGGTGAGGTTTTTTGAAAAACAATTTTGACTTTAAAGCCCTATAACTTTGTTGAACCTGAAGAAACATATCAATTTTTTGTTAAATAAAGTTAGCAAATTCAACTGCCACCCTAACTCGTATTTTTGCAAGGACTCGGATGGATGGATATTCTGTCATATGACTTGCGGCAAACCTACCATTTCCCATTGGTTAACATGGGAATGTCGATTTTCAAAAATTCATCAAATTTATCATCAATTTTTGACCTATTGTAATTGAAGAAAAAATTGAGAAAATTTGGAGGTATTGGAATTAAGGTCAAATTACGTTCCCAGCAATAGTTTAAGTATTTTCATCGCAAGTTAAGTAAATAAAAATTCAAAGGTAAAGAGGCTTTAACACGTAGTTCAATGGGGGAAAAAAGGTTGCCAAACTTATGGAGGGGAGTGTAAATGCTGTTTTAAGTAGGGTTCATGTATGACAATAATTTTTCAAATTGTGCAAATCCCTTCCTTAATCCCTATTATTTCTCTTTGAGGAATTTCCCATAGTAATCCAATGTTATAGTTCAAAGCAGATTTTTGAGATAACAGGAAAGTAAATCATTTATACACACCCATTGGGTTGTGATATGAACCAAAACAACCGAATACTGGGTATTAATGATGAAAACTCAGGGCAAATCAGATTTCTGGATATCTTTTCAGTAAATGCCTCACCAAAAAAATATTTTTAGATAGAAAATTGAATTGTCTAACTTTTTTGAACGCAAAGTGTTAAGTTTACTTTGTGAACATTAAAGTTGAGCTTCAAAGTCATTTTGAAAACCATTTTTCGCCTCCTGAGCTTCAAAGTCATGTTTGAAAATCATTTTCGCCTCCTGTGTTATTTCAATGGAAGAGGTTTCTTGAAAAATAACTTTGACTTTTAAGACCTATAACTTTGTTGAACGTGAAGACACAACTCATTTTTTTGTTCCAAATTCAATTTGTTACCTAACTAGTGTTTTGCAGAACTCGGTTAGATGGATATTCTGTCATATGACTTTCAACAAACCTATCAGTTCCCATTGTTTTATTGGATAAATTTTCAAAAAATCATTAAGAGAGCACAATGATCAGTCAAGGGCATTGCATGGCATATAATATCAGGGTCAAATATTTAATACTGCGTTGGAAGAGAAAGATAGAATTCGAAGGACTGTTAAACATCTGAACTGAAAAAATGATCACCTTACATATTCAGGGAGGTTTCTTAGAATGGGGGTATGAGAACACCTGAAAGCACAATGCGTGTGATTGCATCCGAAATATCACTCAGAAGGCGCAGCCATACCAGAGGATGGATTAAAGGTTGCTGGGACACTTCCTCATTAATGATCTCAACCTCTGTACTCACAAAATGCAATTAACAAGAGACCAAATTAATGTGACTGGTTTAAACAAACGATATGTAGTTCGCTTTGGTTGACACGAATATCTTACATTTTCTTTTCTTTCAAAAATTTTTTCAAATTGAGCAATATCGAAAGTTTCATAAAGAATTTAAACTCATACTGTCATCCAAAATTGTAGTTTTTGTACATGAAAAATGAAGCTGATTGCATTTGCTATCACACCTTGAATTTTTAATCTTTGTTCAGTAGAGTTATCAAAAATGAATATTGACGAGGATGATTTGTCCATGTGTTTGGAAATATCGGAGTTACAATTCAATCAAAAATGTTATATGTAAAATAGTCGTGGAATAATCTGCTAAAACAGGCATATTAACCCGATATTCAGGTCGGCGTTTGGGTTTGACGCGATATCTTTCAGCTTCCGGGATGCACGGCAGGTACTCTTTAAGGAATAGATAATGATAGAGGCCATTTAATATGGTGAAATTCAGCACGATTTGGACAGAATGTCGTAAGTGAGTGCATTTGTACTGACATTCTGTCCAACGAGTGTAGAATTTCACCATATTGAATGGCCTATCGTTATTTATTCCGATTTAAGCATTAAAATGAAAACATTGTTCGGATAATAAGGGATTGATGTCTATAAAATAACGACATTCGAGCAGCATATGTTTTCTCAATCATTTACATCATCGGCCTTTGCACCAAGAGGGAAACATCGATTCATTATAACAAAGTTATTATTTTCAGGTATTGGACGAGCAGGGTCCTTTATGTAGTAAGTATACATATTGTGTATTGATCGTTGAACAAAAGGCAGGAAATCATTTACAGTATGCCATGATAATATAGACATTATATTTAATATCCGTATATATATTCACTCAGGCGAAGTAAAACTTTGGAAATTTAAAATTGAATGCTTTAACTTGGTTCCACTTGCATTCTAGGTCAGTATGTATGTGTCCACTACTTTAAACCACCCCTCACATATACAATACTGATATTTCTAATTTTTCAATCGTGATGAAGTAAAAAAACGATTTGGATACGTTTCTCTTTCGCAGCACATTTGGCGTTGAAGTCCACTAACCAATCATCAACAGCCATAAACGGATACTCACACCGAGCCGTTGATGGGGATTATACGATTGAATGGAATGCTGATGCGCCATGCACACACACAAATGCTGAAGAAAAAGCATGGTGGATGGTTGATCTTGAGGGAATGTTCAATGTCAATGCTGTCAGACTTGTGAATCGCAAGGAGGTACCAGGTAAAAATTAAAGCATTTAAAGTGACAGCATTTTGATCAATTTTAGTATGGTTGATATAAGAACTCTAACATTAAGGTTAAAACTATCATTAGATTTTAGTTTATTTGTAATATTTATCTCAAAATTATACATATTATTCTACTCTCTTGTGATTATTATGATGTCATTATAGTCCATTTTTAGTGAAAACTGTATGCTGTTACTAACACCATGAAATTTATTGTGTACCGCTGGTTTCCAATATCATTGGTTTTAGAAAATTTGGGGAGTCTCTTTTCTATTGTTTATATTGTTCCACCAGTGTAATTCACTGTAAATTGAATCATTATATTATTTGACGCAAGCGGTATGCACTTATTTTTTACAGAAAGGCTAAAGCACTTTAAAATAGAAGTGAGCAACGACACGGTTGCGTGGGATCTTTGTGTTTACCACCAAGATGTACTCGAAAACAATCAGTCCTGGCAGCTGTTTAACTGCCCCAATCACCTTGTCGGAAGCTATTTAAGAGTTCAACTTGACCACATTGGTGTTCTAACGTTGTGTGAGGTTGAAGTGTATGGCTTTTTGACAGGTAAATTGCATTTATAGGTGACATAAATACTCTGTGAACTTATTAACAAGAATCGTGGAAGGCCAATAATTAAATCAACATTACTTCATAAACTCTATATTCAAAATGATTTTAAATAGCATCGATTTTATCAACGGTTTGATGTCAACATGATGAATATGATAAATCGCATCTTCGAGTTCCAGGCAAATCACTTAAAACTCATGTATGATAACATTTTAGCTGTAGAACCAGAGGTGCCCAAATAAGGGCAAAAGTTCAATGGGCTGAAGAAGGTGAAAAAAGTTCCAAGTATTTTTTAGGTTTAGGAAAAAGCAGAGGAAAGAGTAAACTAATGAAATCATGTAGAGTAGAAAATAATTTGTACACCAATCCCAATAATATCATTGGTGCTCAGGTAAACTATTATAAAAATATTTTTAGTGTGAACAGTAAGTACTCCAGAAACAAACTGAATGAATATTTACATGGAGTAGTACTGCCCTCTTTAAATGAAGAGGAAATGCAATCTTGTGAAGGACAAATAACTTTAGCTGAATGTACTCAGGCACTCAAAAATATGTCAAATACTTCAAGTCCAGGTCTTGATGGACTCACTACATGTTTTTATAAATGTTTTTGGAACAAGATAAATGAACTTTATGTATCAGCTATAAATGATTGTTTTAATAATGGACAGTTGTCTACTTCCCAAAGACAAAGAGTAATAACTTTATTATATAAAGGCAAAGGTCTGCCAATGGAGTGTCTACCAACTTGGAGACCAATATCATTAACAAACACTGATTATAAAATTTTAGCAAAATCATTAGCAAATAGGCTCAGAAAAGTGATTGGAAAAATAATTAGTCATGATCAATGTGGATATATACCAGGTCGCACACCAGCTACTGCTTTAAGACTCATTGATGATGTAATAGAACATTTATGTAACAATAACGATGAAGGTGTACTTGTAGCACTGGATTATTCCCGTGCGTATGATAGTTTAAATAAAGAGTTAATGTATGACACATTCCAAATTTTTGGTTTTGGCCCTGATTTTATCAAATGGATAAAAACACTTAATTCAAATGGGCTAAGCTGCATTAATTTTGGAGGTTGGCTCTCCGAGTGGATACCACTAAAGTCAGGTTTATCTCAAGGGTGCCCTGCATCTGCTTTTTGCTTTATTTTATGCTGTGAACTAGTGTCATGTAAAATAAGACAGACTAATAATGTGGAAGGTATTGTAATATCTGAAACAGATGAAATTCAACTAGTTCAATACGCTGATGATATGTCACTTATACTTAAAGATGTTGCATCTGTCAAAGAGGCAATCAATATTATTGATGCCTTTTCAAATATATCTGGGTTAAAACTAAATAAACAGAAATCAGAAGCAATATGGTTAGGCAATAACAAATTTTGTGTTGAAAAACCAGTAAACATCAAATGGAATATTTTCCCAAATAATAAGATTAAAATATTAGGCGTAACATTTTGCACAACCAATAAGGTGGTTGAATTAGATGAGAATGTTGACTGTAAATTCAAGAAATGTGAAGAAATAATGAAAAGATGGGCAGGTAGATGTTTAACCATGTTTGGTAAAATTACTCTTGTAAAATTACTAATGCTCTCACAATTTGGATACATTATGCAAAGTTTTATTTTGTCAGATAAGATTATTAAACGGATAATTTCAATTTCAATTTATTTCCTTAATAATATAATAAAATACAGTACATATAAAGGTTTAACAGGTGACATCATTTCTGATGTTTATACCCGTACATGTTAAAGCATAATATTACGAATATTAAGAGCAAGGTAAGGTCAAGGAATTATCAAACATATCAAGATTAAGTTTTCTCTAAGAGAAGATCGAGAGGAAGTGTTGGTGGGGGAGGTGCATCACAGATATAAATATTTACAGGTTTAGTGTCCAGTACCCAGGCTTCGAGTTATATTTGTATATCATTTTTATATAAAATACATGAATATGAAAAGTGTAAAATGAAATCATGTATACAAAGCCAAAATTTGTTTCTTATATTTCGATTTAAGGCATTTACTCGACCTTGAATTTTTAATTTCTGAAGGGAGGCCATTCCAAATAAATGGTCCGGAAAATGAAAGCATCTTTCTTCCAAAGGATTCTGTTTTAAATTGGGGCAAGGCATAGTTGTATTTACCTCTTGTATCATACCTATGTAATTCAATATGCCTTGTAAATAAGTTAGGAAATATATCATGGATATTGTTTTCATTATTTTGCCACTTAAAGAAAAATTCAGCCACGTTAACTTTAAATATATCATGGATGGTTAGAATTCTTAATTCTTTAAATAATGGTGAACTGTGATCTCTATATCCACTGTGAGTAACTATTCTAGCAAATTTCTTTTGTATTAAATGAAGTGAATTAATTGAGGTGATATTGGCGTTTCCCCAAATGATATTACTGTATGTTAAATAGGAATGAATTAGAGAATGATATATAGTCATGCAGGTTTTCCTATCTAATAAATGGTTAATCTTATACAAAATGCCAACTATTCTCGATATTTTCATTTTGACTTTACTAATATGGTCATTCCATGTAAGGTGTTGGTCAATGATCAATCCAAGAAAATTAGTATGTGTTACTCTTTCAATCTTTTTACCATCAATAAATATATCTAAATTTGCGGTATTTATCTTTTTTTGCTTAGAAGAAAATAATATGTACTTGGTTTTATCTATATTAAGAGAAAGTTTATTGGCTACAAGCCAATCTCTAATTTGATTAAGTTCAGTATTTAAAGTATCTTTAATTTCATTAAGGTTTTTTCCACTGATTAAAATATTTGTATCGTCGGCAAAGAGAACAAAGAGAAGTGTTGGAGAGGCCAGGTAGATATCATTAATATAAAGGATAAAAAATAGGGGCCCTAAAACAGATCCCTGTGGAACACCACATTTGATAGTTTCAAAAGATGAACTTGTATCATGATATTTGGTACATTGTTTTCGATTTGTTAAATAACTCGAGACCCACCTAAGAGCAGGTCCCCTAAATCCATAAAATTCTAATTTTTGTAACAGTATGCTATGATCGATGGTATCAAATGCTTTTGAAAAATCCAAAAAGAGCCCAATGCTGAATTCATTGCTATCAACAGATTTCTTAATTTTTTCAACAAATTGTAGAATTGCCATATAAGTAGATCGTTTTTCTCTAAAGCCGTATTGATTCAAGTACAGAATTCCAAATCTAACAATAAAATTACTCATCCGTGCATACATAAGTTTCTCTAGGATCTTTGAAAAAACAGGAAGAACTAGTACTGATATAGGCCGATAATTAGTAAATAAATTGAGTTCATCTTTTTTATGAATAGGGGTAACTTTAGCAATTTTTAGTTTATCTGGAAAAACACCCTTTAAGAATGAGTTATTGAATATATGTAAAAGAGGTTTAAGAAAATTATCGCTGCATTGCTTAATGATATTAGGTTTAAAGTCATCTACTCCAGCAGCCGAATCTTTTAGTTGTTTAAATTCCCTGAGTAGTTCATTTGAGTCAATAGGATTTAAGAATATACTGGTTAACTGTGGGTTGAGATTTGTCATAAATTTTAAGGGTGTTTTATCTGAAGAGGGGATTTTTGAAGCAAGATTTTGACCAATTTCAGATAAATAGTTTGTTTTTTAAATATATCTGGTCAGGTAACAAAGGTGTGTATGAAGAAGAAGATGTAAAAGGTGTAGTAGAATGTATTAAAAGAAATATATTGATACAAGGCAATGCAAAGGGAGGTCTAAATATGATAGATGTGAAACATTTTCAAGATGCTTTTGCAATTAAATGGATTAAACTTCTACTTGATAGAAACAAAGCAAACTGGAAAAAACTACCAACCTATCTCATTGACAAAATTTGTAAAGATTTTTCTATTTTACTGTCTAATGTTGAATTTAATCAGGTAAAAGGACTAGATAGAATTAAGTCCTCATTTTGGACAGGTGTGTTGAAAACATGGATTATGTATAATTCAGTTAAAAGTAGTCCATATATATCAAATAACAAATACTTGCTACACAAGAACAATCCTTTATATTTTGATAACTGGCATCAAAAAGGTGTATATAAAATAAATGATGTATGTAATGTAAACAATGAACTATTAAGCTATGACCAAATTGGGCAAAAAGTAGGTTTTAATGGCCAGACTTTTTTTCAATACAATTTACTCAAAGAAGTTTTTAACAAGTTAGGTAGAATTAAGGTTGGGGCATTAAAAAACAGTGAATGCAAAATATATTTTAATTGTATTCCTGTACAGAAAATCAATGTGCAATCAATAAGAAAAGGGTTTGTAAAAAACAGTTTAACAGAATCCAAATCAGAAGAGTATTGGTCTGAGCAGTTTGCTCAAACGGATTTCTCAGATTTTTACAAGATTTTGTTTAAATGTGACATTAGCAATAATGTTATAGCATTTATATTTAAATGTTTTAATGGAGCCATATGGAATTTGTAAAATATGCAATGTTGAAGTAGAAAGTCATAAACACTTATTTGTCAATTGTACGAATGCAAAGGAATATGTAAATACTCAAAATTTAAAGTTTTCTGAACAAGAAATTTTATTTTATAGCAATGAAGGAGATTTTGAGAGCAAATGTCATAGAAACCAGCTAGTGTTTAAACACAAGTTTGAAATTTGGAAAATTAGAAATAGTAAAATCTATATCCAATAAGTTCTGTATTCCTGTATAAGTACCAATGTAACCATTGTATATTATGTAAAAATTGTATAAATGTTTCAATGTTAATAAATTAATTTTAAAAAAAAATCTTCGAGTTCCAAGTGGTTATATTACCTTTGAAAATCAAGATGATAAAGCGTAGACAACGAGTTTTGTTTTAGATTGAAACACGTTTACTGAATAATATAACAAATCAACATCGT